AACCTAGCACCAAAACCTATAAGACCCATGCACAGTCCGAACCCTTATAGTTAAGACTCCTTTAGAAAGGCCGGGTATCAGAATACAGAGCCCTGTCAAGAAGCACATCCTACTCTGACTACACCATAAAAAACCCACAACCCAAAACCTAAACCATCTCCTCGTGAAGGGATTTTGAGCCGAGGTTTGCAGGCACCCATCAGTAAGGCTGCCGGGCGCCGTGCTTGTTTCAATCAAAGGGGACAAGGAGGGACCCTTGATGGTGACCCCTACCCTATAATGGGCTATATAATGGTTGTATAATAGCTATATTAAGTGTATATACCCAGGGGTCCTTATTAAGGGTCCCTCCTTTTACCCTTGGATTCAAGCGCTGACTTCAATGCCTGAGTACAGTTTCTCAGTAGTAACCGTTCTGGGGTATTATATTCCCTGTAAAATACCTGCCAAATATTAACCTGTGGTTCCAATAGGTACTGGACAGGTAGAGTAGAGTATAGGGCTTCATTAGGAACTTTTTCCTGCATTTCGTAAAAGTGTTTGTGGGTTTCTGCAGTTCTGGCGGTGTCCATCTAAGGGTTCGTCGCACACGCTTCTTACAGATGTCGCATATGTATTCAGGATCGCTCTTCAGAGCCCCAAAATAGGAGAAGCAACTTAGGAGTCCTTGTGGCGATGATTGGATGTGCATGGCTTTGGCAGGTTTATCGGCTGACGATTTGAGAAATATAAACTTAAGGAAAAGAAGCTTTCCAGGGAAAGGCAGACATTGCATCGAGGATTCTCAACAAAAGGAAATTTCACGCACATACTGGAGCCCCGCTTCCTGGGGTCAATGTTTCTGTGTCCTATATAGATTGATGGAACTGTCTCGGGTTGTCGGTGCCGTTCCTAAACAGGAATGTTTCCACGTAGTGTCCTGGCATCGGGGATGGGCGAGAACGGGCAGCGGGGCGCCGGTCTGCTTGAACACCTGCCTGAACCCCAACGCTCTTCTACGCCAGCATCGTCTCATGGGTTTGGCAGCAGCAGGAGGCTCTGAGAGCACAAAGGTATCCCAGGAAAACAGAAACATTGAAACGACGTGCGGCCCAAGAAACCGCTTTGGAATGCCAAAGTATAACAGCAGATCTCCGGAGTTGAGAACCTTGGACCGCGCAATCTTCTAAACGAACGCTCTTCTACGCCGGCAACGCTCTTCTTGTTTTTTCAACCGGCACGGCAAAAGAGCGCCAACCAAAAAAAAAAAACAGCGACAGGGGTCCTCGTAATCCTTCCTATCGCGAACGCTCTTCTTGGAAGAAACTCGTTCCGCACATGGGCCCCAAGTGCAATCGTATGCCTTGAAAGCAGCCGCTGCATAGGATATCAGGTGGCCGCCGACGGGGGTATCAACAGTTCAATGGGTGGGACAATATCTCAGCAGTCTTAACATCTGTGTACTTCTGCTTGAGATGGACGGCATCGCTTGCCCAGCAAGGCTGCCCGGCATGGGCCCAAGAGTCCTTAGGAAACCAGCATGGATGTCATTGCTGTGTTTTGGTCCCGCTTGGAGCACATGAGAGATGCCTGCAGCAATGCTTGATGTGGCTTGTTCCTACCACAGCGGTCTTATCTGGTTTCACTCATTAAAACCTATTTAAACGCATTGAAAACCGATCAGCTCTGGAGATTGTGCCGTGTCCTGTTAGACATAAGGATGCTGCAGTTGATTGGATAGACTTTATGTTTGGGATGTAGGGTTTTGGAGAGGATGTAAATAATTTGGACTTTGGGGCGTGTCAAGGCTTGAAGGATGCTTGGCCCACATCGGGAACTGGGAACTCTCATGAAACTTTGCCCGAATCATCGAACTGGCTTCGCGGAGCCCTAAATCGTAAACTTGCAGCCGAAAATCCTAAACCCTAGACCCTAAGTTTCAGGGGTACCGGTTTTGGGGGTTAGGGTTTGGGGCTTTGGGTAACATCGTGAAACAGCATGGTACAACTTTAAATACCTCGACGTCCAGGTGAATCCTGAAGCCTAAACCCTAAACCCCGAACAGAAAAATCGAAACCTTGCTGTTGCACATAATGGTTGTACCTTATGATACCCCATTGTTCAAAGTCAAAAGCGTTATTAAGGCCCCTTTGTGTATGGCCGGAGGCAGATCTTTCCACCTACGCCATTCTCTATGTGCATGGGGGCGTCCTTGAGCTCAGAGATGGCTTGACGGGTTGATGTAGGGGTCGGAAGAAATCATTAGCCGGTTTAGGGTTTAGGGTTTAGTGCTTAGGTTTTGCAGGAGGTTTGCAATCATTGGCAGCAATCTCCAAGGTCTCATTATAGTCTCTGTAGAACGGTACTCTATTCTAACTATTCAGCCCTCTATGTCAGGGCTTGGCACCTCTGCGTGAAGGTTTAGGTGCAAGGCTGGAGAGGTGCACGACATATGTGAACTGGGGTTATTTTGGGAGAAGCACATACCGACTTTTTTGTTGAGGTAGTCATGATGGACTCTGGCGGTGCAGCACTTATCTGGCATCAACTTGGATTTCTTCCTTTCTTGTGCTCCTCTTGAAATCAACATTTCCTGGTGCCTAAACCCTAAAACCTAACTAAGCACCTCGCTTTAGCAAAAAAGCCGTACGTGCGGCACGACAGAAGTTCTTGCAAGTTTCCGCCATTTTGCAGACCCTAAACTAAGCATCTAAATCCCCAAAACCGAAACCCTGTAGCCTATGCCCTACACCCAACTAAAGCCAAAGCTGGGCTGGCTCTGCCTTGTGTTCCCTTTGCACGACTGCCAAGGTGTATGCCGACATGGCCGCGGGCTTACTGCAGTTGTTGGTGGGATCTAGGGTTTAGGTTAGATACTGCTCCCACTCTGTAACAGTTAGTTAGGTAGTATTCACAACTAATGTAAGATTCATATAGCCATTAACATGACCCCTAATAAAGACTGTTACAGGGCGGGGCAAGTACCCAAGGTTTCGGGTTTAGGGTGGTGGGTTCAGGGTCGCTTGGGCTTGGTTCTTGCGGCTTTGAGAGGATGTAGGGCTTTAGGGGTGATTTCGGATGTACTGTACGGGATTCATTCCTCGCGTTTCAGTGTTTGGGGTTTTGCAGCTGTGGTTTCAGGGTTCTGGGGTTTTATGGCTTAGGGTTTCAGGGTTTGGGATTTGCGGGGATTTAGTTTGTTTATGTGAATGCCGTGAAGGTAAAAGTCTAGACCTTTGCCAGCAAGTTTTTGTTGCACCGCGGCTTCACGCATGTCTTAAGAATCCGAAGCCCGCTTACCTCATGTTAGTTACCATTTCCCATTATGTCAGTTTGTACTTCTTGACACCCGGTAAAACATCCGCCTGTACTATGGCTACTATGGATTCCGCTATACAACCCATAGAAACTTTATCGCACCAACGTGGCAGCCAAAGCGAGTTCGGCAGAACCCATGCAAGTCCTACAAAGCCCAAGCAAACTGTTTTCATAACACAGAAAGCTATTGCACAAACCGCGTATGATTTTTTGCAGAGCCCCATATTAAGTATGCACGCATATAACAGCTCGTACAAAGCGCTCTGAAACCCTTTCATTCGAGCATGAGTTCGGCAGAAACGGCATAAGAACAAAAAACAAACTATAAAAGCCTACTTGAGTTCAGTCGGGAACTGCCTTCAGCATGGCGTCGTCCGACAGCAGGGTCAGTGTGTTCTTCTGCAGCCTGCAGTGCCAGCGGCGGATGCGAAGCACCAGTGCAGAGGGCACTGCCGATGGTGTCCATCCCAGAAAGCGCAGATGCCGAGAAGGCGTACACCCCCCTCGGCAGGTGCAGCATCCGGGCAGTCCTTTTTCCCAGAATCCGGAATCCCTGCAGGAGTTCGACCAATGAAGTTCGAGGGCTGCGTCAGCAGAATCAGCGATTGAAGGAGGAGAAGAGCTCGCTCTGAGCGAGCCGACGCAGTGCGAGTCGCCGTCGCCAGCGCCTTCGGAGGCGACAACTGCACCAGGTGATTTGGTGCCGCCGCCCACCCCGATGCCTGGGATGCAAAGGATGACGCCCGGGAGATTGAAAACCATGCAGCTTCACGCAACCCTCACAAAACTCATGGAAACTCTGACAAAGGGCAGTTGCGACCGTCTCAACCCGAAACAAGCCATCGTACAAGCCAGCAGAAACTTAAAGAAGGCACAGTGAAGCTTCCTGTAGTCAACCCCTTCGACAAGCTGAATGTGAATATGGAAGCCTGAAGAACCGCAAATTAATGGTGTTCCTTGGGCTTGCTTGTATAGCTATGCTATAACAAACTTGATTATGAAGGCTCCGATATTGCACATCCCCGGTACTGAGCCTTTGGAGGACACTGGCCCCGTTTGGGCAGTGGATGAGCTGCTCACATCGGCCGTCAGAGCAGCGGGAAGGCCTCGTGTCAAGGGCTTCCATAGTTTTTGGGTTTAGGGTTTAGGGGTTTAGGGGTTAAGGGTTCAGGGATTTAGGGTTTAGGGGGGTTTCCGTAGCCATTTTGGCTCAAGCGTTGTGGCTCGAGCCTGAACCAGGTCCGGTCGCCCCTAGGCGTTGGTCCTGCTCCGGTATACCCAACCCCAGCGTCGCCATTGCTTTGCGGCGCGCCATCATTGCCCGCGGGAGGGCGTGATACCCAGCGCGAGCTGGATCCCATTCACTGCGTTTTCGCTGACTGGGAGGCCTGTGGACGGCCATTGTACTGGCATTGGTCTGGACTTTTGGCTACACTCTGTGTGTGGCGACAGGAGAGCGCTCTCCTGGTGATTCATGCCAAGGCGATCACCCTGTTGGGTGATTGCTTTTCTGGCAGTTTTGGGAATATTTCTTTTGTGGATTGGTTCTGCACCAGCTCAACATCATCCCGAGGGCCGCGAGCCCTCCGTGGCACCGCCGTCTCCGCCGTCAGCGGAGGCTTGCGCGCACAAGGTTGCGCCGTGGAGCTGGCCTTCCTGGAGATCGGCAACTGTTGAACAATCACCACGGAAGCCGAGCACCAATGCCGCCCAAAGGACCGTCGAAGGTTTCGAAGCAGCCTCCCAAGGGAGGAGGGAAGGGACAAGACTTCCCTACATCGAAATTGGAGTTCGGCTACCCCCAGGCGCTCAACACGGCCCTTCAAGCTATTGGGGCACGAGCAACCCAAGATCTCTGGCGTGGCCCCCAGCTTGGCGATGGGGATGCAACTGCAGAGCAACTTGCCCAGAGGAGGGCCAATCTGGTATCCAAACTGGCCAAGCGTGTGGATGGCGATGCTCGTGCCAAGCAGGCGCTCAAGGAAGCGCTAGCGGCTTGGAGTATCTCGCTCGGCAACCACCTCGAGCAGCTCCTCACTCGCGTCCGTGCTCTCAGCAACAAACTCGACGAGGATCTAGTCGAAGCGTGCGGGGAGCTAGAGACCCAGACCAGGGATGTTGCGTCATCCTCTACGGACGACAAGATCGCTGCCGCAAGGGCATCACTTGGGCCCGCTTGGAATGTCATACAAGAAGCCGAGGTGAATCGACTTGCGGCCGGTCTACGTGCCTTCGGCAGTGTGGCGGCCGATGGAATGGCTGGTGGGCTGCTATCCGGACCTGCCACCAACCATGCTCCATTACCGGTCGGTGTCGAGGGCTCCGAGGTCAGTTTTGGTGGATGGATCCCAGAGCTGGTGCCACCCTCAGGGCAGGACTACGGAGCAAGTTCGGCCAGTATCGCGGGTGGCGCTCCTTCTCCCCCGGCCTCGTCAGCCTTGTTCCTTGCGGGGGATCGACCGGCCACTCGTTGGAGGAAGAGGGGCAGCGGAGCTGTGGAACGACCCTCCAAAAGCCCCCGCCGTGGACCCGCACCGGACACCGAGGTCGGAGCCGTGGGTGAGGAATACAACGGGCCTCACCCCCCAGGGAGTCTCCCGACCACGCCAGACAGCCATGGACGAGGATCCCGAGTTGATCCCGGACAAGGGTGCGCTACAGGAGGCCTGGTGCCGTGCTTGGATGGCTATCCTGGCGATGGTGGCAGAAAGTGGCGACGATGTTGTCGGAGAGCTTTCTGTGTGCGACGAGCAGGAGGCAGCGCTACCGCGGCACAAGGACGACCAATCCGCGGACAAGTTGGTTGCTGCGGCAGACGAGCTTTGGGAGTTCCTTGTGCAAGTGGTTGCTGCCCCATCCCTGGAACAGCTGGCAGCTCTCCATGCACGACTGCATACCTTGCTCTGCGACCTTCGGAGCTGTTCCGGTGCCCTACCTCGCATCCGCCAGGGATTGTTGGTTGCCATCCATGCGGCGCTCGGCAGTCTGCTCGACCCGTTCAGTTACGCGCCTGGCACACTTCAGGAATGGTTGCACCCATCCCTTGTGGTGGAGCAGGGCCTGGTCAGGCAGGGATATCTGGCGACCGAGATGGCCTCCAATGCACATGCCCAAATTCTGTGCAGGATGCCTTGTCCGTTCCCGTTGGCCACAGCACCTCAGCCCAGCTCTTGAGCGATGGAGTCTCTGTGGACATCGACCCTGCTAGTCGCGATCTTGGGGGCTGCGTTTGTTCGTATCTCCCATGGATCGCGGCTAGCCTTTTCCTCGGGCGTTGTCTGATTCTGTACATAGCTCTGTGTAGAGTTGTAGCGGTTTCAGGGCGGTTCTTTGCGACATATGGCCCCCGCCTTTCTTGGCGACGATCGTGGCAGCTCGGCTGCGTTCTTTCAGCAACCGCTTGGTGGGTTGCTGCTGCAATCGGACCGCCTGTCTCCATGATGCTGTGTGCCATACTCAGTGAGCTCTTGGCTGGCCTTCCTGGACTTGCCTTGGACTTTGGCTCTGCCCTACGTTCTGCCAGTCAGCACTGTATTCGATTCCTCCCTGTCGTGGGTTCTGGACCCGGCTGCGTGTGGGGCCGTGGTTGGACCTGGCCCCGCAGCCACTGGCAATCGGATTGCGATGACGAGCAGACATGGCCTTGGTTCCTCTCTGTCTGGCACTTTCCTTTCGCTGCGTGTGGATGTGTTATGCCGGCTGGGGCCCGATCTGCCGGCCGCAGGGTGCACGGAGTGCGTTACTGTGCGAAAGTGAGACCACGGAGGCCCCGTGGCCCTAACTTTCGCTCCTGCTCTACCTCTCGGTCGCCGACGGAGCTACTCTCCGACTGGGAGCTGCTGTCCTTTCCTCTTACCTTGTGCAGCCCCCCGAAGCCGTGCAGCTGCATGCGCACGGTTTCCATGAAGGCCTCCCTGTTCTCAGCACAGGTCCCGTTCTTCCCACTCCCAGTGCTGATGAGATGTGTGACGTCTATCCTGTCGGCCGTACTGGTAACTTGCTGTTACCACGTACAGACCGTAGCCGCAGGCATCTCGCTGTGTTCGTGGGGACACCTCCTGGCGCGCCCGTCCTCGACCCATGTCCCATTCCCTTTCTGGTTGATGAATGGCTGCATGGGCCACTACTTCATGCTAGGTTAGCCGCTGCTCTAGGCTTCCATGCTGGGGTCTTCTCTGTGTCTGGGGTCCGCGGAGTTCTTCCTGGGTTGCCGAGTGAACAGCTTCTCCTCACACCAGTGGCTTGTTCATGGCGGCAGGTGTGGCTGCCCGTCGATTTGCGACAGCTTGGTGGCCGAGTGTGTATGATACAATGTCCACGTGACTCCACATGCAGAGCAATCGCCCAACTCGCCCTTGCTGCTCAAACCTTGACGGCTGAGGTTGACCTTCTTCTTGCTCGATGCACGTGGGGCTGGCTGACCCTTGCCTCCCAGCCCCTCTTCTTGCAAGATGTTGACACTCTGCAGTTTCAGATCGGTCCGGCTGTCGAGGCGTTACAAGGTCCAGTCGGATCTTCCCTTGATCCGCCCCTATCTCTCTTTTCTGCGATGCAGGTGAGCCTTCCCACTGCTCCGGCCGCTTACGACGCCTTTCCGGGTCACTCGCATAACCAGGCTGTTCTTATCACACCCAACGGGTTAGTATACGTTGAAGCCCCGGTTTTTGCTGATGCCGCGACCTTCCGACGCATCGTGTCTACGAGGGCCTCCCCTGCTGCTACTGGGGGCGTGTTGCGTATCTGGCATCCACTTCCCTCGCTCCCTCTTGTCCAATTTCTTGAGGTTCATTGTACTGAGGAGGAAGTACCGTGCATTTTGGATTTCCGTCCTGTGGGCTGGAGACTGACTACTGTCTGCATCTCGCCCCCTGTCACTGCGCTCGCAGCGGTCACAGCAGCTTCGCGTCGAGATCGCAACAGTCTTCCCCATGAATGGGTCGATCAGTGTGCCAGGGGTGGCTTCGGTCTTCTTCACAGGGAATTTTCTGTGCTTCCGGACCAGGTTATTTCAGGGAGCTTTCCGTTGGTGATCATGTTCTTTCCGCATGTTTTTCGCCAGGACTCCTCGTCTTCCTCGGAGGACCAGGTCGGAGGGTGGGACACTCCGGGTACATCAGATACCATTTCCGCCTTACAGCACACCCTGTTGCCCTCACCCGCCAGAGCTTCTGCGTCCGCCAGCATGCCTGCCTGCACCGGCGTTACACCCTCTGATTTCCTTAATTCTTCGTTCCCTAGTGCTGCTGAGCAAACTGAGGAGCCTGTCTCGGACGCGTCCGGTGCTGTCCACCTGTTGCGAAGGCCCTGGGTAGTTTTTATTGTCTTGGGGATCTTAGGTCGGCATGCTGGAGGGCAACCTGGACTTGGCACGTGGAGTGTTGCTAGCTTACTGCTGTACATTTCGCCTGTTACAGCGGTTCAAATCCACAGCGGACCTGCCTCGCCACGCGATGCTGTTATTTCCGCTGCCAGAGCTCCGGATCGCCAGATTGCTGCTCCTGCGGGAGCCCACTCCCATCTGCAGTCCAAGTGGCTTCTGACTGGTGACTTTGGCGATGGTCCTCTCTGGTTATCCCTGCCGTCACCAGACTCGGTCTTCCTTATAACCTGCCGCCTTTGGCTGCCAGGCTCCGTTGTGCGCTTTGAGTTCTCAAGCACCGATCGGGCCCGTGATGTGTCTGCGGAGCTGTACCGCCAAGCCATTCGACTTGGACGATCTCAGATTGTTGCGGCGTCGGTCGGGCCTACGCTTGAAGTTGTTCACCTTGTGTCCCTGCCCTCGCATCCGGGTGCACTTACTGTCCTTTTTGATTTAGGCAGGGAGATTGTTTGCAGCGAGCTTCCGTTCGACTATAGTCCGAGCCAGGTTATGACTGCCGCACAGGAAGCAGCCTCAACCAGTGACATCCAAATCTTGAAAGGGCCGGCGCACAGACTTCGTCACGGTGATGTCATTCGGGTGATTGTTAACTCCGAGCAACGTACGCTTGATGTCTCGGCGTTCACTCTACCACCTCATGTCGCCTCCGCCTCTCGGTGGCTCCAGGAGTCGAGGGTTGTGTCATTTCTTCATTCCGTTGAAGGGGTGATCTCTTTTGAGGTTCCGCGGTCGTGCGCCCTTGACATCACTGTGCTGAGCACCCTCCTGCAGAGTGTCATCCCTGGCCGTCATGTCTTTGTTGAGATCCCTGGGGCTGATGCCCTCCCACATGCAGCGTTTGGTGTTGCTCGTCCGGGGCAAGACTGTGTTACCTATCGCCTGACTGATGCCTCTGACCCTTCCGCAGCCGGCCTTCTTTTAGCCTTTGCGGGAGTTTTCGAGTCCTTCTCTGCCTTTCTCGACAGCCTTCTTTACAGCAATCGCCCGGCAGCTGTCTTGCTACGTCGGTTGCAGCCTTTTGGCCTGTCGGTGCTGTCCTGGGAATGCACCGTTATCCCCGGCCGGGGTGATTGTCATTATTGGCATGTCCATGTTCAGGCTGACCTCGCCAGGGCTCGGGAATATCTCCTGCATTTGCATTGGGAGCCTAGGATTGTTCGTAGTCCCCCGCCCCTGCCGTCCCCTAGGGTTCGGGTTTCTCATAGTGTTGGGGTTCAGACCAACGCTCCCTTTATTTCCGCTAGCACACCTGCTGCGGTACTTCAGGCACCCCCGACCCTATGTGGCGCGGGGGTTACACCAGACTCTGCATCCGAGCTTGTCGATCTCTGGTGTGATGCAGGGCACGTAAAGTGTCTAGTTGCCTGCGTGCCTGGATTCACCGTCTGGGCCCTTCGCGAAGGGGGCCGCCTTGTTGGCATGTGCACACCTGCTCCTACATGGGAGGCCGTGGCCCAAGCGCTTTCTCTCTCCCTCTGGGAGCTGCCCCAGACATTCTTGTCTGATAGTACTCAGATCTGGCCGTTTCCCGGGACCTCGCCAGTGTCGTTGGGCGGTGTGTTAGTGTAGGCTATGACTCGCCTGAGGGGATTTCGCAGTTAGCGCATAATTGCCAATCACCAGCTCCGAGCCCACCACCAGCTCCACCGACTCTTGTGTCCCTTGCACTTGGCTTGACTTGTCCTGGGCGCAGCTTGCTCTTGTGCGTGCTGGGTCTCTTGGCGCTCCCGGTTGATTCGGTGCAGCTGCCTCTCGAGCCAGCCACACTGGTACCTCGGCGCTCTGCTGACAACATTTTGCATACCCGTCGTGACTTCACGCGGCCCTGCACCATGTCATGGACGCACGAGCTTGGGCGACAAACGCATGGTTTTGCAGTAGCGGCGCCCCAATTAGGTGCCTACGTTGAGCGCACTTCACCACAGTATGAAATCCAGTTGCATCTGTGGTTGCCCGGGCAAGGCCCGATCCATCTGCGTGTTCATGCGCGTCACCTCGACCTGCATCTTAGCGCATATCTTGGAGCCTTTTTGCCTGACTGTGAATATGGGCTTCATGTTGCCTTTGACTCGAATCCGCAGGTATTGGACATTTTGGTTACCCCGCCATCTCCACCAATTTGGTGGATCCTCAGGGATTCCATTGGGTGTGAGTTGCTCCGGCCCGTGGTCCAGCACTTTACCTCTCACTGCTCTTTCTTCTTTTGTGCCATTGAGCCTGATGGAGTTGTGCACAGTGTCGAACCATCGGCTGAGGTGCGTCATATGTCACCGAGCCCCCAAGGAGCTAGGGCACTCATTGGCCGTGCTCTCCCAGGGTTGGTTGGCCGACTTGTTGACGGCGTCCTTCATGTTGTAGCGGCGAGAGCTTGCTCCCCTGCTATTTTCGGTGGCCTGACCCTGATCCTACTTGGGGGACAGTCAGCTGCTATGCATCCGCCTTATAGCGCCGCTTTGGCTACAGTTGATGAAGTTCCCCCGCCGGCCCCTACTACCATGCGGATCTGGACACTCAATGTCCCTGTGCCTGTCGACCTGCCTTGGCGGCCACAGGGCTACCCAACACGCTGGCTTCGTGAATTGATGTGCCGTTTACACCACATTGACGACCCCGGTGAGTTCCGGTCTACTCTCTCCTCACCCGGCGGGACTGTGCAGCACGTTCTCTTCGTGCCGATTGTGCCCACCACACATCCTACTGCTAGATTCTGGCTGCTGCACTGGGGAGATGCGGCTGTGGTTACTTTTGGGCATACCCCTTTCCATTGGGATGTTGTCTCCGCTCACATCCGGGCCCTGTTCCCAGGGGGACCTTTGCCAGACCGTTGCCCAGCTCTTTCCTTTGCAGGCCAGTTTTATCCGCCTGGAGCTCCCTTGCCTGACTTCCCGTCTGGAGCTGTCATTCAGATCATCATCGGCGCCCTAGCACGAATACCGGGAGATGATGATCCCTGGAACCCTGACCCGCTAGTCGTTGATAGCCCCTTCTTCCGACATGTCCCCAGTCGTGGCCCTGCACTGGAACCGGCCATCCGGCTTGATGGGAGTGGCAATCAACTTGCTGCTGGTGCCTTGCAAACTCCCCTGGTTGATCAAGGTGTTCAGACTGATCTCTCAGGTAACGGTACTGGTCTCGACCACGCTACTGTTTCACGGGTTCATTTGCTGTCCCGTGAACTCTCTTTCCATACGTCACGACTCTGGGCTGGGCTTGCCGAGCCTGACGCTGAGCCCGTTGGAGACTCACCCTCCGTTCTGAGGCTTTCCTCCCAGAGCGCTTGCGCTGCCGCCTCGGCCCCGAACGTCGATCTGCTTGATATCGGAGGTACTTCTGGCAGCCACAAGCTGGCTCTTCCGTCCTCTGTTAGTTGGGTCTTAGTCGGGGCACTTCTTGGTTTTAGGGGGGTTGCGTCCGGGAGCTTTCTTGCTCTTGCAACTGTCAGTGATGGCTCCATTATCTTCCCCCCGCCGGATTGTTCGGACGAGGAGCAGTCTGATGAAGAAGGTCCCCCTCCTGTCCAAGCTGAGAACATGTCTGTCGCTTCTGGTGCACCAGTCCCTTTCACCATTCCAGCTGGACCTCCTCCACCGGAGCCGGTGAATGCCCCCTTTCAACCTCGTTTGCGTTATCTTCGTGCGGCCCGCCCTCTTGAGGATTATGCTCTCGGACTTTGGCCCTCCACTCTCGATCGGGAGCCGGCTGCCGATGAGGACGTTGTTCGACGGGTCCAAGCCGATTTGCTTGGACTCCAACGCGGCCTACGCACATTTGCCGCTGCCATCCCACTGGGCACGCCCTTTTGTATCCACAACCCCTTCACTGCCCGCCAGCAATGTGACATTGTGGAATACTCTGCTGGGCCTGAGCTTAATCCCTTTGTCCTGTTTCAAGGACATGCACGCAGCCGTGGTTGGGCCGGGATGGTCTTGCTCATGCCGCAGCCCGATGCCACAGCTGTGCACCTAATTGGCTGCCCCCAGGCGCCGGGCAATGTCGCGGTGGGTGTCGTCATTGACGGACGCCTCCTTCCATGCTGCCTTCCTGCGTGTGTCGCCTGTGCGGCGCTCCAGGCGCTTCATCTTGACGGCCAGGAATATGATCTCCGACCTCCGGATGTTCACGAAGAAACCGCTGTTGTCCAATTTCGCAACGGTGATTGTCTGGCGGCGGGGCGCCGCCCATCCCGCCAGCTACCCTCCCATCAGGATGTGCAAGCTGCCACCGCAGAAACCTTGGGGGGTGGCACCGATGATGCAGCAACGGTCCCCGGATCAACTTCTGCTGCATTCAGAGCCGCAGGTTTGTGGGTTTGGCTTGTTGTCACATCCGCCAGGTCGCATGGTGTGGCGCCTGCCATGCTCGCTCTCTGTCTCTGGCGCGCCGAGGTTCTAGGTATGCATAGGCCAGGTGGCTTCCCTTGGGGTATTGATCCGGTTAACCGGCGGTTCTCTGGCATTACGAGTGAGGACCCGGTTGAAGTTGTCCTGCACAGCCCCTTTTTAGGGGTTTTTCCACCCTTTACAGCCTCCCAGGACACCTGCCACACTCAGGCCTGGGCCCAGTTTCGCACTGCTGATCCGGGTTGGGCGGCAGACTACTTTCCGGTCTGGCCAGGGCCTGCATTCAATGAACTTTCCGTCGTCCCCGTCGGACATGATCCTGCCCTTGTCACCATTATGCTTGTCTGGGGAGGTCACCATCGGGCCACACTCACGCCTCGAACTATGACGGTTGCGTGGCTGACTTCCTTTGTTGCCCGCCATATCAACAGTGAAGTTGGCGGGCTCTCACTTCCCCACGGTTTGGCGGTTTGCGAATATTTTGATATCCCACCAGCCGCTTTTCGGTTTCGCAACGGGGACGTCGTTTATATCCATGATCCCCCAGCTGACCCTGATGAGCCGTTAGAGTTTGTGGAGCCTTGGCACCTCCAAGACGGACTCGCGGCACACCACGCTCCATGGGCTGTGGGGTTCCAGCTTATGTTTCCGATTTCGGTTCACTTGCTCCGTCCTGAGAAACCGCCACTGCTCACGAGCATTCCGGCTGGCGAATCTTGGTGTCCTGAGGCATTTTCATTTTCGGGGGACTTTAGACACCAATTTCCGGGCTTTTGGACGCCGGTCCAGTGGACGAGTGCTCGTGCCCTGCAGCTTATGGCGGTTAACGAGGTTGCCGCTAAGGTTAATGTTGTAGCGGCTACTCCTGAAGGGCGGTTGTGCAGATCGGTCGATCGTGTTGTGTCTCGTGACAGCCTCGCTGCTCAGCTGAGGTTCTGCCCTGCGACGGTTCAGGTTGGCGGGGTCCCGTCATATGCCATGGAGCAAGCTTGCGAACTCCGCAACGGGGATGTGATTTTCGGAGAATTCGCTCGCGGTGCCTGTGCGACTGCCTCCTGTCGCCTAGGTTGGTGGTTGGGAACTGCATTTGCTTTCTCACAGCTGCCCATGGCACGCCAGTTCTTGCTTGTCCTTGCTGTTGGCCTCATGCATGGTGGCCAGTCTTCGAGCCTCGGGGCCGGTGCTCTGTTTTTCTTGCCGTCAGCGGCGGCCATGATTCAACGGGCACCTGCAGCCCCCTTGGCAACCCCGGCTATCCCTGCTGCCACTGTTAACCGAGTCACCCTCACTTTGGCCAATCCCTTTGCGCCCTGGCAACGCGTTGAAGTTGACCCCAGTAATGCCTTTGAGGATGTCATCGCGGATGCACATCACACCCTGACGTCGTGGCATCGGGGGTTTGCTGAATCCGGGTTGGTGTCCGATGGTTCGCATGTTCTGGTCCCGAGACCAGGAGGGAGGCTCGCATGCATACTGGTTTCGGGTCTAGGGCAGCTTATTTGTGTTGTCGTGCCCTCCTTTCTCACCCCCCGCGATTTAACCCATGCCTTGCAGCTTCGCTTTGGCCGCCGGGTAAGTGCACACCTCTCGCCCGGACTGGCAGCGTCAACCCGGGACACCAGACCCGTGCTCGCTTTGCGCTCAGGTGACTTGATAGCAGTCCGGCTTTTCCAGTCGGACCCTTCAGCGGGGCCACGCGAGACGCCCGTCTTCTTGACCTGGGGAGCTGCACATGCCGCCTCAGCATGGCATTCTGACTTTATTGTCGCTCACGCCTCCTGTGTGCTGCTGTGGTCACCCAGCCGACCCACTCGGGTCGCTCTCCTCCGACACCAAGCGCGGTGGAATGCTGCAGAGGCCACCGTTTGCCAACACGAGGAGGCCTTGGGAGTCCACCGTTGGGCGCCCTGCCACGGACACCTAGGGACGCCACCCTGGCTTGTTGAGCAAGCCACTGCTTTTGGGCGTGTGAATATCATTCAGTCTCGTGGCTCCACCAGGTGTGTCGAGATTGACAGAGGCGCTGCACATGACCTTTACATTCAAGGGTTTTCCCTCCGCCCCGCCTCCAGTCAGGCTACTGAGGAAGCCAGTGTACGCGACGGCGATTGGTGGGTTCATTCCCTTGCAGCTGGATTGTTTGGTCGTCGGCTACCTGCGCTGGCCAGACTTCTGCTCCTTGTGTATGGTTTCAGTGGGCCAGCCTGGGCTGTGTCCTCCGGCTCCTCGGGCCGATGTTCCAGTGTTGACTCTTCAGAAGCTCGCACCATTCGCACCAGGATGCCGCCTCGGCGGAGTCGCTCCCGTGATCGGGACAGCTCTCACCGCCATTTTCCTGCGCGAGTCGATTTCAGCAGTGGTGAACCTTATGTCCTGCAGGCGGGGTGGCAGCCTGATTGTACTGACGGTCAGCTTTGTTTTGCCCGCTGCTTTCCAGGTCCAAGGCCCCTTACTACCCGAGTCCTCTGTCCCTTAAGGGGTTGGAGTGAATTTCATTTTGCTCGGTTGGAAGGACCATGGTCCCTGTTTGAAGCTGTTGGGTCCCGACACTGTGGTGCCTGGGCAACCCGCTTCTTCCCTGTCCGTGCGGCGTTTCCGTTCGCCCAAGTTACGCTTGCCCCGGTTGCTCCTTTCGGGATGGCAAGTGTAGTCTTCCACACCCTTAGTGGCACAGCCGTTGCCTTAGCGTCGGTTGATGCGTCGCTCGAGGACATTCAGCGGCTGGCCGCCCGCCTCATTCCCAGCACACGGTTTTGGGTTGTCATTCCGCCTCCTTCCATCCGCGCCGCTCACATGTACACGCACATCCGCCTTCGCAACGGCGATGCGTTTGGCTTTCTGCCTGACTCTACTCAACCCGGTTCTACACGGTTCCCTGCTCTGCACTACCCATCCCTTGATAGGGCGCGGCAGGTTGCCAGCTGGTCGTTGTCTTTCAGGTTCGACACAGGCGGCCCCGTCACCCTGTGGACAACCTCCAGCCGTTTTGGCCAGCTGGTGTATGTACGCGACAATGCGTATTGGGATCCTCTAGGCCCCACATTTCGAAGCTTAGGTGGAGAGACCCTAACGGGCTCCTGGGTACCAGTCCTTACGGGTGACCTGTCGGACCTGCATCTAATGTCCCGCACCTCAATTTCTGAAGCGCATGTGCTCTTTCTCCTGCCGCCAGAGCAGACACCGGTGGGGGTCTTCCTAGCGGGCTGCAACACCCATCGCATCCCTTTGGGATGGCAACTGTTACCTGCCATTCGTTATGTGCGTGCTGGTAGCACGTTGCGGGACGGGGACGTCTTGGTTATTGCCCGAATGCTGATCTTGTTTGGGACCCCTTCAGCACACAGCCTCCCAGTCTAGATGATGCTCAGCCGCAGCGTGCCCAGCACACCTGGCATCAACCTCTGACCTCTGCCTCGCCTGGCTCCACGGTTCTGCTTGGCGTTCTCGCGGTTTCGGTTGGTCGCGCTCCCTGGTGGTTAGGGCTAGCCCTCGGGGTTGTGCTGGGGTCTAGCATGGTGCCTTCTTACGAGCTCCCCGATCCGCCCATCCGAGTTGGGCTGTACCCATGGCGCGCACGTCCAGGTGAAGGCGACCTTCTCGATCTTTCGGCCCGACCTGAATTGGATATTGTTTTGCTTAGTCCTTTCACAGGGCCTCGGGAGGCAGGTCGTCTGTATACCTCCGCTGCCGTTACTGAGCTTAACACATTGATGCAGGCCTGTGAGCCGGCCTGGGGTGCCGACGTTGTGCCCGTATGGCCGACAGCCGCCCTTCCAGCCTTGTTGGTCGTGCCGCGTCCCCCTGATCCCAGCCTCGTGTGCCTGGCGGTGTCCTCTTTGGATCGGCATTTCTCTGTCTTGATCCCCTGCTCCTCCACTCTGTCATGGTTGGGGGAGGCTCTCCGTTTTCTTCAGCCATTACAGGCGCTCTCCCTGCGGGCGCCTAGTTCCTTGGCCGCGTCGACGCCTCATGACGGCGTTATCAGATGGCGTTCGGGTGATCTTGTTGTCGCCCTGCCTCCGGCAGCCTTCGAGCCTACTTACCAGCCCCCGTGCTTCCACACTGATGCGCAGGTTCGGCATTGTGCTGTCTGGGCAGTCGATTTCTCGGTCTCTGTCCGGACCAATTTTATACTTTGGCGCCCCGGGGTCCGTGCAATCCGGGGACATGCACCCGAAGGGGCCCAGTGGCGGGCCCTCGACTTTACGTTTGCTGGGGACTTCTGCCAACACTATCCTGGGCGCTGGGTGCCGGTACCATGGATTGCCCAAGACCATGCCCATTTAGTTGTGGTGTCCGAGGACCCGACATATGTCAATGTTGTCATTGAAGCTGACGGTAAGTGCTGGTGTGCCCCAGTAACTGCAGCGACGGACGCCTGGCAGTTATGGAATGATGTGCCCTCCATCTCCACTCAGCCACGAGTCCTGGGTCTTTCACACCAGGAACTGCGCCAAGGCACTGTCCTTCGCAATGGTGACGTTGTGTCAGAAGCTCCCCAGGGCGCCCTACCTTCAGGTGGCGTTCAGGCTCTCCTCGCTTTCTTTCTCTCTGTCCGCTTTCTACCAACTTTCCCGAGCTCCTTGGTTCTGATTGCTGGCTTGTTTTTCGGCTGGCATAATGAGGCCGCCGGTGCACGTCACCTTACCCTCGCGGTTGGCCTCGCTGCCACCGGGCAGGGTCATGTTGAGGCAGTTAGGATGTCTGACACACCCTATCCTGCAGGGGAATGTCACCGCCTCTGGGAGCCCTCCGGCTCTGTGTCAGGGCCGTTCTTTGGCCCCGTGGATCGTCCGCCTGAGGAGTTGCGTCATGCCGCTGTTGCGTGGTCTGATTTTACTCAAGTCCGGCCACCGCAAGATCCTCGCATAGTGGATTGGGTGCCCGTCCCTTCGGATCCTCTCTTCGTTGTGGTCCTGCTCCAGTGCCCGCCTGCGACTCGAGCCGCCATCCTGCCAGCCACGTGTCACGCTGCCGACCTTACTCGAGCGTGTCGACGGTCGGTCCCTGATTTAGCTTGTGTTTTAGCCTCGCCGGAAATCTGGTGTGGCACTGCCACTTCCTATACCCCAACTCTTTTCCTTCGGTCTGGGGACGTGCTGACCCTGGCATGTGCCGGCTGGGCTCCACGCTTGCGCTCTCCCAGCGGCCGCTATTGGGATACCTTCTATCAGGCCCGTAAATTTGCCTTTTGGGGTAGCCCCTTTCAGATCCGCCTGCCAGGCCTCTTGTTTGCGTGGTCGGCCGGTGATCCTGTTCCCTTGACGGTTCATACCGTTCAAAATGAAGTGTGGGACCCGGAACACTGCACATTCCGACCCTCTTTGGCCCGGTACAGTGTTGCCCGTTGGATCCCGGCTGCCCGTTGTGATCTGCTTGGCCTCCACCTTGTCCCGGAGAGCCTTAACCCGCACCGTGCACATGTTTTGCCCACGCAACCACCTCTTCGGTTGCTGGAGGTCTCCCGTTACAGCACACAAGGTCTGATTAGGGATGGCGATAGCGGCTCTTTTGGTAGCAGAGCTCCCTCCCCGCGTCTTCTGTTGTGCCTTGCTGGCCTTCTGCTGACGCGGAATGCCTTGTCGCTCTGGGCTAGTGGCGGGGCTCTCCTTCTTGCAGGGGCATCCTTTGGGGCTTTCCCCTTCAGTGACACCCTTGTCTTATCGAGTGTTGCTCATGGTGCGATGTCGTGGCCCGCTCTGCTCTTTGACATCTATGGGCGAGCTTGGGGGGCCCCTTCCGAAGCCCCTCGTGTAGCGGATGCAGCCGCGAAGACCGTACCTGATCGGAGATTAGATCTCAATGAGGCGGGTCATCATTATGCCGGCCTGGCCGCTCATTACTTGGCTAGGCACTTGCTGGTGAGTATGCCTCCCACGCTCCCTCCCTGTTATCACTCGGGCTGGCTCCGTTTTTCGGCTTGGCCCGGCGGAGTGCCTGATGAGCTGTTTATCGCCACTGACGGCAGCGGCTTGCAAGCGGGAGGGTGGGCCTTCGCGGTGTGGGCCCTCTGGAAAAAGACATGGTTTCGTGTGGGGTGGGACGCTGGTAGCCTGCCTGCTACCCCATGGCTCCCTACTCCCACTGCCACTGCCACGGACCTCCGGTCGTACCTGGGAGAGCTTAGCGCCCTTGTTTCTGCTGCGGCCTGGTTCACTGCCTGGTGGGATCACTTGAAGCTACACACTGGCCATGCGCCTGCTCGGGTTACGATTGCTGTCGATAATAGTGCGGCGTTACAGGTTGCCGGGGGATTTGCTTCAGCTACTCTGCCGCACGCCCGTGTTTGTCGTTCACTCTGGCAGGCAATCCAATCTCGTTGCACCACCCATTTCCGTCATGTGCCCGGACATGCCGGTGCCCTGGTTAATGAGATTGTTGATGCCCTTGCCGGTTATGGTGCGATGCATCCTTGGTATGCTTCCCCTGGGTGGTGCCGGCTGCCTGTGGGACGTTTGGGACCACCCTTGCTCAATGCGCACCGTTTCTCTGGCTACTTCCGTCCGCGCAGCTGGGCCCTACTGGCCTCTATTGGGAATCCCCGGCGTGGGGGGCACCCAGGGACGCATCTGAAGCAAGCAACCCTCCTGCTATGCCTGAATCTCAGGCGAAGTCTGATCTGGCGAAGTCAACTCACGTTTGTGTTAGGCTTGTGCAAGCCAACATTCAGACTATTAAGGACGTCGCTGAATCCTTCTTTAACCGGGAGGGTCATGGGCAGCGTCGCATCTACATTGCTCAACAGCTCCAATCCCTAGATGTACACGTTGCCTTCTTACAGGAGTGCCGTAGCCGGCCAGGACGTTGGTCCTCACATGGTTTTCTCAGCTTCCGCTCCGGCGCAGAAAAGGGTATGTTCGGCGTTGAGATCTGGGTTAGACCTGATGTTGTGTCACCCAAGCTTGATCTCGATGACTTTCGCATCCGGTTTGCCAGCCCGCGGCTGCTGTTAGTACAATGCCAACGTTCGGACTTTCCGGTGACCCTGGTCGCGGCTCATGCACCGCACGCTGAACGCCCGGAACATGAAATTCGGCGCTTCTGGCAAGACCTGCGGGTCCAGCTTCTGCCAGCATGTAATCGGGGAGTCGTCCTGGCAGGCATCGATGCAAATGCTGATTTTGTGGGACGTGATGAAGAAGAGGTTCTGGTCGGTGACTTACTGTCCCTCCGACCGGCTCGCTTGGCCGATGACTTGCTTCTTGCCTGCCTGCATGACACCTCTCTTGCTGCCCCTGGTACTTGGGCTGAAACCCACTCCGGCCCTTCATGGACCTGGCAGCATACCGGCGGTAAGGTCCAACGGCTTGACCACCTGCTTGTCACTGGTGGTGTCGTTGTTCGTGGCCATCGCCAATTCCCTGAACTTGACATCCTGAACGGGGAGGCGCGAGATCACATGCCCATTACGGCATGTGTCGAGATATGGGGGAAGACCGGACGCCGTGTTCATCAAAGGTGTCCCTACCCACCCACATGCGGTGACCTTGTCTCGCAGCATGTTTGGGACACGCTTGCCCGCTCCGGTCCAGGATCTGGCTCCACTAAAGTCCGTCAGTTATGCACTGCGCACGCTGCAGCTGTCCGACTGCTACCGGCGAGACCTCCGTTGTGCCGGCGCCAACCCTACCTCTCAGATACGGCTGCTGGTCTCCTTGACACCCTTCGTGATGCCAGAGCTGAGCTACGTCGTCTCGCTTCTCTTCAGCGACAGCAGCTCTGTGCACTTGCCTTTCATGCTTGGCACGGTCGGCCACCACCAGCTCCTGCTCGGCGCTGGGAACGCCACCAGGTGCAGATGCTCGTGGCCCACTTTGCGCATGTCTGCTTCAAACTGCGAGCTCAGGCTCATGCCCAGGCCCGGATTGACAAACAGGCCTATTTTGAATCCCTGCTAGTCGGAGCTATCGATCACTGGCATGCCACGGGTCGCCCTCTTGAGGCTGTCTCCAAGCTTTCATGGGCGTCCAAAGGAGCTAAGCAGAAGCGCGATGTGCGGGCCGCCAGTGGCTTCAATATCGATGCTGAACTGCAGTTACAGTTCCAACAACAAGAAGGAGGACGCCCCGTGTCGAGCGCGCAACTCAACAGCGCTTTTGCCAAATGGGCTGACACTGCCCGCCCAGTTTGCCCGGCAGCGGTCCCTTCCCTTCTGGACGTTGAACACATGTGCCGTTCCCAGAAGAGAGGCAAGGCCCCTGGGCCGGACCACATCCGTAATGAGGTCTGGAAAGCTTGCCCCGACAAAGCTGGACGATGGTTATGGCCGATTTGGCTTCACCTCGCTTGGGGAGAGGCTGAGCCCCTTCATTTCAAAGCCTCCATTGTTGGAGCCCTTCATAAGAAAGGCCCGGCCCACCTGCCCTCCAATTTCAGATCTATTGCCATGCTTAATGGTGTTGCGAAACTTTGGCACTCTCAGTTGCGAGCTACGCTCGGTCAGGAAATCATTGCTCATTACTTCCCCACACAGCTCGGCGGGCGGCGTGGGGTCGATACTGGCCTTGCGCTGGGCGTCTTTCGCTCGGCGGTTGACCTCGCCACTGTACGCCACCGATCATGGGCTGCCTTGTTTGTTGATATCCAAGCAGCTTACTATGAGGCTGACGTATATTCTGCTCTTTGAGGGGCGTGACCTCGATGAAGCGTTGCAAGGGCTGCGCCTGCCGGAACACGTCCACGGACTCATCCGAGATGGGGTCCTCTCTGGTTTAGGTGTTCCGCCTGACCAGATCGCCCTGCTCAGGGATTGCGTTGAATGCTCCTTCTGGAGGTTGGTCGGTCAGCCTCAGGCTATTCTTGCCAGCCGTGGATCTCGGCCGGGTGACGGTTTGGCCGATGTTCTCTTTGGCGCGCTCTTTGCAGTCATCCTTCAATGCCTTCACCACGCACTCCGCGCTGAAGATATTGTGCATGCATCCACCTCAGATGCGTTGGGGAACCCTGACACCGCGCTTCAAATTGCTTGGGCAGATGACCTTTGCCTGCTTGTCGATTTCCTGCGGGCTACCTGGGCCGTCTCTAAACTCCAGCGTTTGTGCTCGATTGTCTTGCAAGTCTTCGAGGCTTTTCGCTTTCGGGTGAACCTGGGAGCCGGTAAGACTGAGGCCCTAGTCCACCTCCAAGGACCGGGGGCTAATGAGGCCAGGAAGGAACTCCTGTCGCCCGTTCCTCAGCTCCACCTCACTGATGGGCGGTGCATTCGGGTTGTACCCGAGTATAAGTACCTCGGGGTTGCGCAACGTTGCCGGGATACCGGCCGCCGTGACATCGAAGCCGCAGCATCCCGAGGCAACGCCATTTGGACCCAGGCTGCTGGCCTCGTGCATTCTGACCATCTACCTTGGGTCCTGAAACTTGTGTGGCTCCAGGGGCGTACACTCCCCGCGGCCTACTCCTCCCTTGCCACTACGCTTGCGCATTCTGAGCGAGCGTGGGGGCCTCTTCAAGGTTTCCTTGATAAGTGCCTGCGCCAACTTGTCGGAGCCTGGGATGCCGGCCACCATGTTGCCTCCGCTCAACTGCGGGCGTGTACGGGAGTGCTTGATGTCGAGTGTGCCACTCTCATTGCTAGAGTCCGTCTTCTCTGTCGCATTGTGTCAGGCCGTTCGGCTGAGGTTTTTGACCTCTTTCAAGCCAGTTGGGATCGCGGTGGAGAGTGGTCCTCACTCCTTGCTGACGCCGTCCGCAAGGTCTGGCCTGCTTGTGGCCTTCCAGACCTACGCACTGGGGAGCCTACCTTGGAAGGGATCCGCCGGCATTCCAAAGCCATTTTGGCTGCATGTCGCAAGATCAGCCGTTCTGGGACGATGCTCCTCGCGCTCCACCGCGCTTGGAATAGCCGTCAGCCTCCTTCTCCTAAGAAGATCATTGGGGTTGCGGCCCCACATGTTTGCCCCGAATGTGGGGTGACCCTGCCTTCGGCCCATGCTCTTGCTGCGCACCTTCACCGTCTGCACGGGCGTGTCGCACTCTGTACCCAGTATACACTTGGCACCGTGTGCCTCTGGTGCCTCATTGAATTTCATAACGCCGCGCGCCTCCGCTATCACCTGCTCAACTCGCCTGCGTGTGAGCATGGCTTACGCTGTTGTGTTGGGCCCGTCTATGTGTATGGGTCCGGCACCAAGCGTCGCGGCCAGCAAGGGCATGCTCGGGCGCCGGTTTTTCGTCTTACTGGGCCATGTAATGCCACTCCAGCCCAGCGACGGGCTGCTGAAGAAGACCGAAACTGCACTGCAGAGGAGCTTGCTGCTGAGCTCCATGCCTTGGCGCCTGGCCCTGGATTTGCTGAAGGCGCAAGGTCTTCACCTGTTGTCCCTTTCCGACGGGCTACCGATCCGGCTGAGGGAACCCCTGTCCCTCCTACCGGTTGTGCACCAGTCGCTGTTGGCCTCGCTGCAGTTGCACATGCTGCCGTCGATGGTGTGAACCCCCCTAATGAGGCATCTTCGCCTCTCTCGCCTTTCTCCCCGCATCCTCCCCCTCTTGCGGTGCCGGCTCAGGTTTCGGCCTGTCTACTCTCGGCCTTTTTCTTCGATGAGTTTCCTGACGACTGCGACCTTCGAGTCCCGTCCTGTCGCTGGTCTGGACTTGCGCCAGGTCTCTGGTGTCTTCCTTGCAGTTGGAATTGGTGTTGGCGCCTCTTTTGCGCTTTCGACATGCGTCACCCTTGGTCTGGTGATGTGTGGCGCCTGTCGGCCTTTCTTCGTCGTGAGGAGCGCCCCTCTGCCCTTCCACGGCTACGTGGCCCTTCTGGATTTGGCCAAGCTGCAGCAAGTCGCATCCTTTTTCTGCGTCGGATGTTGACTTTCCTTCATCTCATTCGCCAGCTTCAGCTCGGCGCTGTCCTTTGGAGCGCTCAGCCCCTCCCCGGTGCCTTTTGGGAGTTGCTGGGCCGTGTTGCCCCTGCTGCGGTCGGCGCTTCGGCGGTCTCCGTGCTCGGCTTTGGTTCGGTCGTCAGCTTGCCGGGGGTCGTCCCCTCGGCGCTTGCTGCCCTCTCTGCCGGCTGCCTCGCTTCCGCTCTGCCGCGTCGCCTCGCCTTTCCACATCAGCTCCTTTCGGCGAGCTGATCTCGGGTGCCTTGTGTTGTTGAGCACCTGTGTGCTCCCTCCCTTTGTCTGCACCCACCGGTCTCACCTTTGCATGTTGGAGCGGTAAGTCTCCTTTTGGTCTGCTCCGCGCTAAGCGCGAGCTTTTGAGACCCTGTATTTAGCGCGGGACTAGAACCCTTATGCTGCGAAGTGAAGAAGTTTTAGTGTTGGTTCAGGGTGCCAGGGTTTTAGAGTTTTTTGGTTTAGGGTTCCAGGGTTTCAGCGGTCTCGGTTTCGGATTTTCGGGTATAGGAGTTCAGGGTACAGGCCCCAACCATCCTTCTCAACGACAGCTCGCTTTGCATTGGCGAAAGGTTTCCGAAATTAGGGGTGCCTTATTTTGGGGCCCTTTATAATAAGGATCCGACTATTTAGGGTACTCTATTAGGGTTCCTATCTTCGGAAGCTCCCAAGTGCAGGCTGATGCCGGGGTGGAGCCGACGGCTTTCTTCGATCTGATTCTGAACATCTGAGCCTTGATAATGCTGCTTAGGCCTGAATGAAAAACCAACAATAGCAATAGCAATGATAAACAGAATCATATTCATACTATTCGTACAAGCATTGCGATGCTTCTTCTTACTAATGATAAGAGCAATCGTCAGAAGAAGAAGAACATTTACAATAAACATGGTAACAGTAGTAATGAGAATACGACTGCTATTCCCTCGGTCTTTTCGTGATAACAGCACTCTAAGGGCTTAGTAACTCAGGCCTTGGGGTCGGCAAATACGGTGGTGCCCTAATCCCTGCAAGCCCTAAATACTCTAAGACCCACCCGAAGCCCCAAACCCTGGAACAAGGCGCTCAAAAAAGCTAAGCCCGATCTGAAACCCTAAAACCCGAAGCCCACACCCCGAACCCTGAACCTTTGCCCTTCTAGTTGGGGGTGTCTACACTCCGAAACCGGAAATGCTAAGCCCCTAACCCGACTCCTAAACCCTGAACCGAACGTGGAAATGAATCATCTGATTATCAGGTGTTATAATATAAGGGCGTTTTGAGATTTGGGTTTAGGTTTCCTAGCAAATGGCTGTCTTGGGCAGCGTGATTGCGAGGGATAGGTGTCTCGCGAACGGCTCAGATGAGAATGCAGCTTCCGGCGCAGACCGGCGTAGAAGTTAGGAATCTATCCGGGGGCTTCAGAACTGAGCGCATTTCTTCAATTCCGGAGGTAGGTCCGGATAAGACCGACTCGGGATACCACCAAGTCAGGAGTATATCTCCGGCCTACCTGAGCACATATACATCGAACTGAAAAAGCAGCTTTACGGGTCCTTTCCTTCGCAGAATCTCAGGCTGAATTTACCAAGCATAATTACCTGACTTGCACTTGCCTGCTGCAGTGTAGTGCAAGCTTCATCAGCCAATCCAGAGAGGAGAGAGAGGTTCCCAGATAGGTCTGCTTGCAGTCTGCAGGAATTTGAGGGATTTGAAGGCCCAGTCGTGTGGCGAGGTACTTAGACAGTCAAAGGAAGAATGGCTCACCCTCAGTATCTTTACGAAGCCTCATCTGATTCGCCGGGTGGGACGGTGGACTTTTGCACTGCTGGGGTTGGTAGCACCCTGCCACTGACAAAACACCGCACGCGTTTTGAAGACGTTTCCGACAGGATCCGTCACGTGGCTTCTCTACCATTGGGGTTTTACAGTTTCTGCGGTGCAGCAATGCCGTACCAAAGCTAGAAGCCTTGAGAGGGACAGAACCTTAATAAGGGACTAACAGACAGCCGCTTCAGAAGTGATCTGGAGCCTCCGGACAATGGCAGGCAGTGACATGTTATTTCCGTTTCACTGTGGTTGGGATGGTCGCCGCAGTTGTCTTTTCGAAACCTTATAGCCGTCATCTTGGCACTCACCCTCAAATGCAAAACTCCCAGAGCCTTGTGCCCCAGCCTAGGACCCTCTAAGTCTAGGTTGCGGGTTTTTGGAAGACTTGGTGCACATGTCAGTTTAGGGGTAGGCTCGGAGCCAGTGAATTGTTGGTGATCCTCTCTGTCGTGGTTTTGTAGGTTAGAGTCGAGTTGAACGAACCCCAACCTTTTTCACCCGAAGGCTTCAAGCGTGTGCTGCTTGGGCAGGGGACGGGATGCTACTTACTATGCTCTAGCGCACTTTGTTAGGTCCCGAACACCTGCATTGTCTGGGCAGATCTGTTGGACGAGGGTAAAGAGCTTTAGAGAACTGTGTTGGGTGAGTCAGCCTGTTTCTCGAGAGCTGCAACAGACCTCCCAACAACGTTTCACGGCTTAGGGTGACAAGCAAAGCGACGTGACGTAGCCCGAACGGGCTGGCTAAGGTGTCATTCAAAACCGGGCAGCATGTCAACCTTACACTCCCAGACCCTAAACCCTAAGTCCTAAGCCCACAGCCTCAACCCCAACTTTAAAGCCTGCACCCGGAAATCTACCTACTACCCACTGTATGCTTTAAATCCTGAGCGCACGAAGACCTGCTTGGAGGTTCATGGGTAGTTATAAGTAGGGTTATAAGTCCACTGATATCAAAGATGGGTTATAATTTTAGTTACCCTACTTATAAACCCCACGTATAACTATACCCATGAACCTCCAAGTAGGCCCTAAACCCTATACCCTTATAGAATCCTGTAGATCCCGTTAAAGGGACCCTTACGTAAAGGAAGAACCCTTACAACTACCCATGAACCTTTAAGTAAAAAGGATCCCACCCTAGCTTCTTGTTGACGCCCAAGACTCCAAAGCCAGAACGGTTTAGGCTTTAGGATCCTTTGGGGCTTCAGGGTTTCGAGTTCGAGGGTTTAGGGTTCCTTTAAGGTTTAGCTTCGTAGGTTCTTGGATCTTTCGGGTTCAGGGTTTAGGATCCTTCGGGCTGCAGGGTTTCAAGTTCGAGGGTTTCGGGTTCCTTCAGGGGTCTTTCTGGGGTAAGTTTAGGGTTTAGGGTTTAGGGTTTAGGGTTTAGGGTTTAGGGTAAGATCTCTTCCAGATTCGGCTTTGTTTGGCTAGTCTCAGTTTGGAAGAAACAGAACAGCTTCCTCCCTCAAACCAGAAGGGCTCAGGGTTCTTGGAGGGTCGAGGGACGTAGTAAGTAGGTAGTAGGTAGACTCATAAGTACCCTAAAAAGGACCCTAATTGGGGTTATGGTACTTATGAGTCCCTAAAATAACCAGTTACTAAGTCCCCCGACCCTCCGGTCCAAGTTTGGGAAGCAGATGAAGCTGTACACCTTCATGATCCGAAAGTACCTACGTCTAAGTCTAAGCACGGGGATGCTCCAAATTAGGTTGCGCTGGAGGCACCTAGCTTGGAAAGGGCTTACATACCTGCTTAAATCATCGATGAGTAGCTCAATTAGATAGATCCATAGATAGACGGATAGATGGATCCGGTTTCGAGTAACACCTATAAAACCTAAAGAGGACCAGTTCCCTTGAAGGCCCTGTAGGAGACCCTAAACCCCTAAACCCTACCCCCCCTAAACCCTAAACCCCTAAACCCTAAACCCCTAAACCCTAACCCCCCTAAACCCTAAACCTCTAAGCCCTAAGCCCTAGCCCCTAAGCCCCAAACCCCTAAACCCTAAACCTCAGACCCACCGGAAAAAAAATCCTCAGACCCGCACAGGTACCTGCCCTCATCGAGGAGCGCTCGGCCACCTCACTGCAGTCGCGCGTTGCCCCAGCGATCCGATCATCAGTCTGCGGGTTTCGGGTTTGGGGCTTGGGATTTGGGATTTGGGGTTTGGGGCTTGGGGTTTAGGGTTTGGGGTTTGGGGGTTTGGGGTTTGGGGTTTAGGGTTTGGGGTTTGAGGGTTTAGAGTTAGGTGAGGTTGAAAAGCAGTGCTTGCAGCTTTCAAACCTTGGTCGGTTTCAGGGTTGAAGGTTTTGGGTGGTGTGGGCCATGAAGTACGCGTCAAGACGGTACGGCATGTCAACATGAGGATTCTGTGTGCAAGGGTACATGTGCGACATCCAAATTCTCTCCTTAAGCCACAGAACTTGCAGCACTTCCAGATTTATCAACCCGTTGTTGTTGCTCCGCTGTGGCCGTGAGAAACTTAGTCCTATTGTTCTTATTGTTGTCGCGAGTTTGGGTTTTCGTGATTGCTAGCTGTCAGGAGGGATCAACCAAGCAGCCTGTGGGAAAAGCCATTTAGATTTGATTGTCGGAGGGTTTCAGACTGCGCATGCCCACCATTTCATGGTTCCTTCACAAGGCACCGTTAGGCCGTTAGGCTTGAATTGCTGAGCCAAGAAAACACACAAACCTAACCCTACTTTTAAGCCCTAAACCCTGACGCCTAGATCCTAAACCCTGACGCCAAAATCCTTGTCCCTCAGCCCCAACCCTCACGGGTACCAGCACCTCGGGCACGGTCGCGTGCTGCAGACATTTTGCTCAGGCGCACAGCTCAGAGATTCCACAACCCTCTATTAATTAAGGAATATACCTTAAGTTTTCGAGGCCGTAGGATTATGGTTCGAGGTATCGTGCAATTACTCCGCAATTTTACTTTATATCGAGGCCGTAATATTATGGTTTGAGGTATATATATATATATATATATATATATATATATATATTCCTTAGTTGTGCAGTATTTTTTGCGCTCTCTCTGGGTTCTTGAGCACCATGTCCCCAAGCCATCGACACCGCGCGGGGCGTCTTCCAGGCCTTCTTGCAAATCTTGGTCCCTTTGTCATAAGGACCCTTAGGGGGGAAGGGGGGTAGGGGGCCTTAAGAACCATAATAAGGACTGAGTATAATTAAGGCTACCCTAAACCCTAAACCCTAAAACCATAATAAGGACTGAATAAATTAAGGCCTATTTAAGGAAGTACAGGGTCCCTATAGTTTCGGGCACTTCAAAACGCCCTAGACGGCCGTCACTGAAAACCCTAAACCCTAAGCTCTAATCTATGCCATAACCCCTGAAGCCTAATTCGTAAACCCCAAACCCTACACTCCTGAACCCTAAACGGTAAACCCCAAACCCTACAC